TGTCTAAGGCCTACTTTTACTGGGAAAAAATTTCCCTCTTTCCTACATACTCTAACTTGAGCCTCACTATCCTCGTAAAAACTCTTCACTGCTTTCAGTAACCTACCTCCTACACCATACACTTGCAACATCTGCCACATTGCCCCCCTATCCACCCTGTCATACGCCTTTTCCAAATCCATAAATGCCACAAAGACCTCTTTAGCCTTATCTAAATACTGTTCACTTATATGTTTCACTGTAAACACCTGGTCCACACACCCCCTACCTTTCCTAAAGCCTCCTTGTTCATCTGCTATCCTATTCTCCGTCTTACTCTTAATTCTTTCAATTATAACTCTACCATACACTTTACCAGTACACTCAACAGACTTATCCCCTATAATTTTTGCACTCTCTTTTATCCCCTTTGCCTTATACAAAGGAACTATGCATGCTCTCTGCCAATCCCTAGGTACCTTACCCTCTTCCATACATTTATTAAATAATTGCACCAACCACTCCAAAACATATCCCCACCTGCTTTTAACATTTCTATCTTTTATCCCATCAATCCGGGTGCCTTACCCCCTTTCATTTTACCTACTGCCTCACGAACTTCCCCCACACTCACAACTGCTCTTCCTCACTCCTACAAGATGTTATTTTCCCCCTTGCCCTATACACGAAATCACAGCTTCCCTATCTTCATCCCAAAATTTAACAAATTCCTCAAAATATTCCTTCCAACTTCCCAAACCTCTACCTCTCCATTTAATTTAAATCCCCCTCTCCTATTTTTTAACTGACAAATCCATTTGTTCTCTAGGCTTTTTTAACTTGTTAATCTCACTCCAAAACTTTTTTTTATTTTCAACAAAATTTGTTGATAACATCTCACCCACTCTCTCATTTGCTCTCTTTTTACATTGCTTCACCACTCTCTTAACTTCTCTCTTTTTCTCCATATACTCTTCCCTCCTTGCATCACTTCTACTTTGTAAAAACTTCTCAATGCTAACTTTTTCTCCCTTACTACTCTCTTTACATCATCATTCCACCAATCGCTCCTCTTCCCTCCTGCACCCACTTTCCTGTAACCACAAACTTCTGCTGAACACTCTAACACTACATTTTTAAACCTACCCCATACCTCTTCGACCCCATTGCCTATGCTCTCATTAGCCCCATCTATCCTCCAATAGCTGTTTATACTACCCTAACTGCCTCCTCTTTTAGTTTATAAACCTTCACCTCTCTCTTCCCTGATGCTTCTATTCTCCTTGTATCCCATCTACCTTTTTTACTCTCAGTGTAGCTACAACTAGAAAGTGATCTGATATATCTGTGGCCCCTCAAATAAACATGTACATCCTGAAGTCTACTCAACAGTCTTTTATCTACCAATACATAATCCAACAAACTACTGTCATTTCGCCCTACATCATATCGTGTATACTTATTTATCCTCTTTTTCTTAAAATATGTATTACCTATAACTAAACCCCTTTCTAAAACAAAGTTCAATCAAGGGCTCCCATTATCATTTACACCTGGCACCCCAAACTTACCTACCACACCCTCTCTAAAAGTTTCTCCTACTTTAGCATTCAAGTCCCCTACCAAAAATTACTCTCTCACTTGGTCAAAGGCTCCTATACATTCATTTAAAAACTCCCCAAAATCTCTCTCTCTTCCTCTGCATTCCCTCTTCTCCAGTGCATACACGCTTATTTTGACCCACTTCTCGCATCCAACCTTTTCTTTAATCCACATAATTCTTGAATTTACACATTCATATTCTCTTTTCTCCTTCCATAACTGATCATTTAACATTACTGCTAAAAAAAAAAAAAAACCCCTTTCCTTTGCTCTAACTCTCTCAGATACTCCCGATTTAATCCCATTTATTTCCCCCCCACTGAAACTCTCCTACCCCCTTCACTTTGTTTCGCTTAGGGCCAGGACATCCAACTTCTTTTCATTCATAACATCAGCAATCATCTGTTTCTTGTCATCCGCACTACATCCACGCACATTTAAGCAACCCCGTTTTATAAAGTTTTCTTCTTCCTTTTTTTAGTAATTTTTATACAGGAGAAGGGTTTACTAGCCCATTGCTCCCGGATTTAGTCGCCTCATACGACACGCATGCTTACGGGGAAAGATTCTTTTCCACTTCCCCATGGGCAATAGAAGAAATAAAAAAAGAACAAGAGCTAATTTTGAAAAAGGAGAAAAACCAGATGTATGTATATATATATATATGCATGTGGTGTCGTGAAGTGTGACCAAAGTGTTTAAGTAGGAGTAGCAAGATATCCCTGTTTATCTTAGCGTGTTTATGAGACAGAAAAAGAAACCAGCAATCCTACCATCATGCAAAACAGTTACAAAGGGTTTTTGTTTCACAGTCATCTGGCAGGACGGTAGAAATTCCCCGGGTGGTTGCTGTTACCAACCAACAAACCTTTATATTTTAAATATATATATATAATTTATATAAATATATTTTATATATTATATTATATATAATATATTATATATAAGTTTGCTAAATTTTTTATCAGATTTATATCACGCACCCAGGAAATATACAGTGCAGGATATTAAAGTTGCGGGAGTAATACAGTGCAGGAGTAAAATACGTGCAGGAGTTTTTATACAGTGCAGGAGATGGGTTGAAAAATAAAGGAAATAATTGGGGAAAACATATTAAAAGTAACCCTATAAAAAAAAAGGGTTCGAAAAAATATACGGGGGCCGTTAGGCCTGTTTCCCATTTGCTCCCTGGAACAATTTGATATCATTTTACGGGACGGTATCACTGTTAAGTAGCTTTTGTTTGGCGATTTTTGTGTGGTATATTAGTATTGGGGTTTCTTTTAATTGTTACCCAAATTTTTAACCTTACCCAAAACCGACCCCCTGGGAGTTTACCTGGAGAACCCGGGGGTCAACCCCCCCCCGCGGCCCGGTCTGTGACCGGCCTCCTGGTGGATCGGGAGCCTGATAAAAACCCCCGGGGCTTTTGTTTTCCCTGGCTCCCACAAAAACCAACGTACGAGCCCCCGGGCCCCGGGCAGGAACAGACTTTAGGTGTTGGTCCATTTGCCAGCTTGAAGACTCCCGGGGGTTTTGTTGGAAACCCCCCCTTAGGGTGTGCGGGGAGGCGTGACAGTCTGGGACCCCGAAAATTTTTGTATGGTCTTTTTAAGGGGCTATTGCACCCCCTGCTTTTAAATTGGGGGGATGTTGTTTCGCCCCAAAAAATTTTTTGTTTTCGTATGAGTGATTTTCGTGGAAAGTTGGGAAATACCCTCTGGGTTTTTTCCAGGTGTATAAAATAAAAGAAATCCCCTCCCCCCTTTGGTTTCCCCGGGAATACAGGTTTGGGAAACCCTCAAGCGCCCCCAAGAAAATTGAGGTGTTTTATCTCCGTTTTTTCGCGCCTTGAAATTTCCCTGTACATTTTTAGGTGGGCCCAATTTCACCTGCCTTGAAAGGTGCTGTTAGTGTGCAGCAATAATTCCAGCCTAGATAGAAACAAGTGACCTGAAGAGTGTCATCATGGGCTTGGCCTCCCTAGTTTTTGAAGGTTCTCATTATCATCCTGTCATTTTTCTAGCAGATGCGATTGATACATGTTATGGTCCTTGAAGGTGAGATCCTCCGACATGATCACTCCCAGGTCTTTGACGTTGGTGTTTCGCTCTATTTTGTGGCCAGAATTTGTTTTGTACTCTGATGAAGATTTAATTTCCTCGTGTTTACCATATCTGAGTAATTGAAATTTCTCATCGTTGAACTTCATATTGTTTTCTGCAGCCCACTGAAAGATTTGGTTGATGTCCGCCTGGAGCCTTGCAGTGTATGCAATGGAAGACACTGTCATGCAGATTCGGGTGTCATCTGCAAAGGAAGACACGGTGCTGTGTCACATATACTACTTGTTCCACCACTCTGTATTAAGACTGAAGAAATCACTCGTGGCGATACATTTCCCTAATAAATGTCTTGATCAGCGTCAAATATGTGTCATTATTCCAGTTCTACCTCTCAGGTGTAGTTGATGGATTCGGAAGATCATATATTTTGGTTTAAATGGAGATGCTATTTCGTCATCCGTCAAAATTTCAACGCTGTATGATCCACATGGGGTTTCCTCATGACTAAAAAAACTTAAAATAAAGATATACTGTATACAGTAGTGGGAAATACAGTGAAAAAATAAATTGAGTTTTGCAGTGGAAGTGGCTAGTTTATTGTGCGCCCAACACCCATCCTGTGGACGGTAGCGCCAGATACATGCATAGAATTTGGCCTCAGGAACTTGGCTCCACAACAGTTAGAAGTTCACGTCCTTACATTTACAATACTGTCACATACACAGTTATTCTTAATTAGTTACAAGCAAATTTAGCCAATTTGCTCAGAATTTATGATAACTTATTATCTCTAAGAAGATAGATACCCTTAACATATCACATAGATTTGTTTGCTATCCTCTACATATCTTAGTGTATCATCGTCTGTGTATTGTATGTAGACCTGCCAGATGAACTTTTAACCAAGCCTAAGTCTGGCTGCTACAATATCCACGAATCTGTTACACTACAAATTACTCATTAAATGTGATTATGTTTGTGCTATCATAGCAGGTTATAGAGCTGTTTCAAGCTTTTAGTCTCTACACATTCTAATTCATATAATTCTATTTAGATGTTTAAATGACGTAAATTAAATACGTTCAAATTGCTTTAATTAGTCAACGTGTCACCTTTTTCTAAGAGGAACAAGCCAGTTGCTCTTCTCTATATTTGTTGAGTGTCTACACTTGGTCACCACGATGCTGATGGCGAGTCAGGAATATCTAGTGATGATTTGACATTTGTAATTAGACAATGAAATTGGGATCGAAGGCACAGACTGAGGGTTGGAGGGCACAAACACACACATACACACACACACACACACAGACACACACACACACACCACACACACACACACACACACCACACACACACTCACACACACTCACACACACACACACACACACACACACACACACTCCCCACAGCCACCAGCTTGTGGGTGATCCTGCTCCTCTCTGTGCCTCTTATTTCTTGCTAACAACATTGTCACATACTTTAAATATTTGTACAAAAGTGTTAGAGTTTCATGTTCTTTATTTTTTTAAATCACTGGGGTGCCTGCAGGGCCTCGGGGAAATTTTATGTGATGCTTTTTAAAATTAACCACGATTTTTTTTAGTAAAACTGAGATATCTTAAAAAATAATGAAAATAATATTTTTCATTTTTTTTGTTTGATGTTTTTTATTTGGAATTTTTTTTAGGGTACTCACCTATATGAGGTTACAGGGGTCGATTCACAGCTCCTGACCCCATGTGTATGTGTGTGTGTGTGAACTCGTAAACAATTTTACCACACAGTTTCCTACAGACTACAATCATGACCATAATTTTTAATGGGGTAGACCGGTAAGCCGGTTGAAGGTCTCGGTCAGATGGCTAAAAGCTTCAGCGGCAGGTCATCACATGACAAAGACCCGCGATAGGAAACACTTGTCCTGTTTCCTGGCAAATCTTACCTAACCTAGACAACATGGTGGGGGAGGGGACACAGGCTTCTATAAACTAGTTAGTACCTATCCTGGGGGATCCTAGATACAGAGGTCAGGGTAGGTAGATGAGGCGGCACCAGGGCACTGGGAGCCAGCGGCACCCTCAGCATAGATGGGTCGCTCCTTCACGTTACCAGCCTGACCATAGTTACACACATAGATCTTGCTCTCCGGGTAGAGTTTGCCCTGCAGCTCCACCTCGTAGTGGACAATGCCGCAGCCCACCTCGCTGGTATCAGCCCACACCACCTGCAGGAGGAGTTACACGACATGAACAAGACATTTTCTACCCTCGTCTCTGTCATCCTGTAGCCCTAGAGCACTAGGAGTCACATAGCACCTAGAGAATGGGTGAGAATAAAGCTTGATTCTCACCAGTATCAAAGCTAGTATCCTGTCTGTATTGACAATCTCTCAGCTACTGCACTGAATCAGCTACCGCAATGAATCAGTTACTGAATCTCTCAGTTACTGCACTGAATCTCTCAGCTATTGCACTGAATATTATTAATATCAATGTTTATACAATGTCAATGATTATATCACATTATCACTGTTTATACAACAGTATCAATGTTTATTAGTTTAGCCGCCAAGAACACTCGTGTCAAGAGTATCAAACATTAGTACTTAGATAATTATGATTTTTAAAATAAAGAGAAAAGTTAGTGAAGATAAACAGGAAGGAAACTCTGAAAAAGTATCGTAAACAAGGATACAGAAAGGAGACACTGAAGGATAACACAGAGAGGAGACACTGGACGATGACACATAGAGAGGAGACACTGAATGATAAATGAGAGGAGACACTGGACGATAACGCAAAGAGACATTGAACGACAACAAGAGAGGGAGACACTGAAAGATAACAGAGAGGAGACACTGAACGATGACACACAGAGGAGACACTGAACAATAACACAGAGAGCAGACATGAAAGAAGGACACATACAGGAGAGACGGAACTGCTTGGGGGTCATGGGCTATAAACTACTATTACCTTTCACTACTGTTCCTACCTAGACTACTGGTGTTACTCCATTGCTACTCATAGAGTTGTGTGTATCATTGGTTCTACTTCTAGTTACCACTAGTTGTACTTCTGGACAATGTGGTGCAGGTGGGTGTGAACAACTAGATACCCAGAGCACACACCAGAACATCAGTGGCCACTGCTGAGACTACCACAACCACCCAAACAACCTCTGTTTTTACCACTAACATATATTATTAACGTAGGTGGCTTATTGTTACTTGTTCGTCCTCATGTAATCGCTCAACTACTATCAGGAATGCGTTGATTACACTTTGTCCTAGCATGAATATCTAGTTGAATCCTATGACTACAAAATTCTTGTCCTGCTGGTTCCTCAATGACTACATTGTTATCACACCCAGAGCTTCAAGCAGGTAGTTTGATCCATACTTCAATAATTCTGTTTGCAAATAAAACCTTTGCACACATTCCTGTTGCATCTCTTGCCTCGAATTTTCATTATATTGTTTCGAGTCATTGACTCATTTTGCACTTCAGATTAGTTCTTCGTGTATGAGTGCATTAAAACCATTTAATATGTAAAATATATGAATGAGCTCTCCTCGTAGGCTCTGTTTTTCATGAAAGAAATAGTTCAGGGCTTCGAGTCTTTCTTTATATTTTTTTTAGTGATGGTGCGAGTTTATTAGCTCTTTTCTGTATATATTTATGAGTTATATCGATAATCATGTGAATAAGACGCAATATGCGGGTGAGGAATGCAGCCTTACTCAGTCAGATTCTCCAGAAAAATATGTGATTACATCAGTCTCCTTGAAATTCGTTATCAACACTTTATCACCGGCTGCTGGAAAAAAGCTGAGAGAATGCTACACAATGCAATGAAAGGAAAAAATTACAACCCCATCACAGCCATAACCTCTAGTACAGATGTAGTAGAGGAGTCCTCTTTCAGGAAAAATGTTGGTGCCATGACAACAGATGGTGGTGTCTCTGGTTTGGCTATGGAGGACTGAAGTGCAGTTCTAGGACCTGCAAAGATTAGGAATACATCCAGCACGAATTGTACCTAGCCAAAAACAAAATGGTGCAAATTCTATGTTTGGGGCATCTGTAAACACGGAATATCAGGGAAAACGAATGGGGCATGCAACTTTGAGCATCCCCAAAAATGCCGTGACCTCCTGCCTAAGGGAGTGTGTCGTTCTACGTCTTGCAAATACTTCCACCCTGAGATGTGTCAGTCTTCAGTCCTTGAAAAACAATGTTACAATACCAATTGCACTGCATACCATTTAAAAGGGACCAGGAGGCACACACCCCGTACAACACATCATAGTAGTTATGGTAGCTATGACAACACCCCAAATGATGTTTTAGTGGTAGGAAACGAAGAAAGAAAATGGAAAGAGATAACCAAAATAGTCCACTACCTTGGAGCCTTGTTGGACTGGAGGCACAGCCAGTGGCGCCTCCGGACTCACAACTACTGATGCCAACAACAAAATCCCCCCAACAAACATGCAACACAACCTCATTTATATTTGCTAATATACAGGGCCTTAAGCCATCCACCAACAACAAAATACATTTCATTAGTGGACTTCTAGAGGAGTCAAATTCACTGTTTGCAGCCTTCACAGAGACCCACGCAAAAGATTACTTTGACAGTGAAATATGGATACCTAGATACAACCTTTGCAGATGCGACAGAAAGAACAGGCAACGAGGGGGAAGGGGTTGGCCTGTATGTCAAAGAGTCTCTCATTTGCACAGAGATACTGAACACCACAAATGATGTAGTTGAAGTTCTGACAATAAAAATCGAGAACCAAAACTTGGTCATTGTACTTATATATAAGCCACTGGATGTAACTTCCCAACAGCTCAAATAACAACTATCAAAAATTGACTCCCGTCTGGAAAACTTTCCAGCCCCATCCCCAAACATCTTGCTGCTTGGTGACTTCAATCTAAGAATACAAAAATGGAAGAATATAGCAAATAATGTAGCAGAAATAATCCCTGGAGGCAGCTCAGATGGAAAGTCACACACAGGCGCTGCTGAACTTCTGCAACAAACACACCCTAAGTCAGCAGACAGTGGAGCCAACAAGACTGGAGAACACGCTGGACCTTATTTTCACAAATAATGAGGACCTGGTAAGGAACATAACAATATCAAAAGCAACAAATTCTGATCACAGTCTAATCGAAGTCCAGACTTGCATACACATGAGTCCTGATCAGCAAGACGCATACAGCTATGAGGGTACCTTTACCTAATTCAACTTCAACAACAAGAACATCATCTGGGATCAGGTAAACTATGCCCTAAATGAAACATGCTGGGAGGATATCTGAAATTACATGGACCCTAACCAATGCCTTGAAGTATGTTCAAGGTATATTCCTGTAAGAAAAAAGAAAATAAGAGCTAAACTGGAGAGAGAGAGAGAGAGAGAGAGAGAGAAGAGAGAGAGAGAGAGAGAGAGAGAGAGAGAGAGAGAGAGAGAGAGAGAGAGAGAGAGAGAGAGAGAGATGCTCCCTCTACAGAAGAAGACGAAGAATCACTGAGCTCCTCAAGAATGCCAGATTGAAAGAAATTCGAAATATTTCTTTTCATATCTCAAAAACAGGTAAAAAATCACTTCTAGTATAGGGCCCCTGCTCAGACAAGACGGATCCTACACAGACGACAACAAAGCAATGAGTGAGATACTGAAATCACAATATGACTCAGTTTCAGCGAGCCACTAACCAGTCTAAAGATAGACAATCCAAACAGTTTTTTCATGAATGAGCCTCAAAACCCTGCCAATGTATGCCAAATTTATGACATAACCCTGACTCCACTAGACTTTGTGAAAACCATCGACGACATGCCCATGCACTCAGCCCCAGGCCAGACTCGTGGAACTCGGTGTTCATTAAAAACTGCAAGAAACCTCTCTCACGGGCCCTAAGTATGATATGGAGAAGAAGCTTAGATACAGGTGAGATTCCACAGTCACTAAAAACAACAGATAAAGCCCCAATCCATAAAGGTGGCAGCAAAGCAGAGTAGACTAAGCAAAGCTTCGTCCCACATCATAAAAATCTTTGAAAGAGTTCTAAGAAGCAGGATAGCAAACCACCTGGACTCCCAAAAATTGCACAATCCAGGGCAACACGGTTTCAGAGCAGGTCGCTCCTGCCTTTCGCAACTGCTAGACCACTATGATATGGTCCTAGATGCACTGGAAAACAAACAGAATGCAGATGTCGTATACACAGACTTTGAAAAAGCCTTTGACAAGTGCGACCATGGTGTAACAGCGCACAAAATGAGTGCTAGAGGGATAACTGGCAAAGTAGGCAGATGGATTTTCAACTTTCTAACCAATCGCACACAAAGAGTAGTGGTAAACAGAATTAAATCAGATGCTGCCATAGTGATGAGCTCTGTCCCACAAGGCACAGTACTCGCACCTATCCTGTTCCTTATTCTCATATCAGACATAGACAGAGACGTAAACCACAACACTGTATCATCCTTTGCAGAAGATACTAGGATCTGCATGAGTGTGTCATCCATTGAGGACACTGTTAACCTCCAAGAAGATATAAACCAAGTTTTTCAATGGGCAACAGAGAACAATATGATGTTCAATGAAGACAAATTCCAACTACTCCGTTATGGAGCGGAAAAGTAATGTGAAGGGCCTGGGTGTGGTAATGTCCGAAGACCTCACCTTCAAGGACCACAACAATGCCACTATCACATCTGCGAGGAAACTGATAGGATGGATAATGAGAACATTCAAGACAAGAGATGCTAAGCCAATGATGATCCTTTTTAAATCAATTATTCTCTTTAGGCTGGAATACTGCTGTACATTAACATCCCCATTCAAGGCAGGCAAAACTGCAGAACTAGAGAATGTACAGAGAACCTTTACTGCACGTATAAGTTCCATCAAACACCTTAACTACTGGGAGCGCCTGGAAGCACATGACTTACACTCGCTAGAGCGCAGGCGAGAGAGAGGCATCATAATCTACACCTGGAAGATTCTGGAGGGACTGGTCCCCAATATGCACACAGCAATCACTACATACGAAAGCAAAAGACCTGGCAGGCGATGCAACATACCCCCCAGTGAAAAGTAGGGGCGTCACTGGTACACTAAAAGAAAACGCAGTAAGTGTCCGGGGCCCAAGACTGTTCAACAGCCTCCCACCAGCAATAAGGGGAATTACCGGTAGACCCCTGGTTGTCTTTAAGAGGGAGCTGGACAGATACCTAAAGACGGTGCCGGATCAGCCGGGCTGTGGTTTGTAAGTTGGATTGCGTGCGGCCAGCAGTAAGGGCCTCGTTGATCAGGCCCTGATCCACTGGGAGGCCTGGTCGTGGACCGGGCCGCGGGGGCGTTGATCCTCGGAATGCCCTCCAGGTAGACTCCATTTGTCTACAAGTAGAGAGGGGCGTACACATGTAAAGTCAACATTTTGGTCGCAAAAATAACTCTCCAGCAACGTAATGGACTTAGATAAAAAGAAAACCGTAACCAAGACCACTACTACTTGCGTCTATATGATACCATGTGGATGTTGTGATAAGAATTACATGGGTCACTGTCCCGGAGGCCAAGGTTATTATCAAGGAAGCTGAGAGGCATAACAAGCAATGTTTTGGATCCTTTCTGGTTGCCGCTACTGCCACCATCATACAGATGTCAGGTTAATTCTTAATTTCATAAACACTGGCCAAACTTGCTCTCATCAGACGTGATACTGTTTTTGCATGAAACTATATATATAGACGAGCACTGTGGTTGGCTCACTGACCCACCTAATTTTTAAAGTTTCGATGATCCCACTTGGCTCAGTCTCATTACAACAGATGACATGATCCGCCCAGCTCTACATCTCACTTTACGTCTTCAATATATATATATATATGTCGTGCCGAATAGGTAAAGCTGGTCAGTTAGCAATAATTCATTTAAAATTAATTAAGTCCTTTCTAAAATTTTCTCTTATACGTTTAAAGATATATTTTTTTAATTTATGCTAATGTAAAAATTAATAATTTTGTACCAAAAGAACCTTAGAAAACTTACCTAACCTTATTATAACAAGCGCAATTAATTTTGCCTAATCCAAATAAATATATTTTAGACAAGTTTAATTTAATAATAAATAAGCACAGTGAAATATGTTTTACGTTAGGTTCAGAATGAGTTTTGCGAAATTACTGCATACGCAAATTTTCGCTTTCCTTATTCAGCAAGAAGAGCGTTGCTGTTAAAGCCAAAATTACAAGATTTATATATATATATATATAAAATATATATAATATATATATATATAATATATATATATATATATATATATATATATATATTATATATATATATGCATATATATACCACTGTAATTGATAAAGTTGGTGGTATACAAACAAAACCTTCTCAACAAAATACTACACAGTATATTGTGCATTCTTCACATTATTCTTCACATTATTCTTCACATTATTCTTCACATCATTCTTCACATTATTCTTCACATTATTCTTCACATTATTCTTCACATTATTCTTCACATTATTCTTCACATTATTCTTCACATTATTCTTCACATTATTCTTCACATCATTCTTCACATCATTCTTCACATTATTCTTCACATTATTCTTCACATTATTCTTCACATTATTCTTCACATTATTCTTCACATCATTCTTCACATTATTCTTCACATCATTCTTCACATTATTCTTCACATCATTCTTCACATCATTCTTCACATTATTCTTCACATATTCTTCACATTATTCTTCACATTATTCTTCACATTATTCTTCACATCATTCTTCACATCATTCTTCACATTATTCTTCACATATTCTTCACATCATTCTTCACATTATTCTTCACATTATTCTTCACATTATTCTTCACATTATTCTTCACATTATTCTTCACATCATTCTTCACATTATTCTTCACATTATTCTTCACATTATTCTTCACATTATTCTTCACATCATTCTTCACATTATTCTTCACATTATTCTTCACATTATTCTTCACATTATTCTTCACATCATTCTTCACATCATTCTTCACATTATTCTTCACATCATTCTTCACATTATTCTTACATTTTTTTCACATATTCTTCACATCATTCTTCACATTATTCTTCACATTATTCTTCCATTATTCTTCACATTATTCTTCACATCATTCTTCACATCATTCTTACATTATTCTTCACATCATTCTTCACATTATTCTTCACATTATTCTTCACTTATTCTTCACATATTCTTCACATTATTCTTCACATTATTCTTCACATTATTCTTCACATTATTCTTCACATCATTCTTCACATTATTCTTCACATTATTCTTCACATTATTCTTCACATCATTCTTCACATCATTCTTCACATTATTCTTCACATCATTCTTCACATTATTCTTCACATTATTCTTCACATTATTCTTCACATCATTCTTCACATTATTCTTCACATCATTCTTCACATCATTCTTCACATTATTCTTCACATTATTCTTCACATTATTCTTCACATTATTCTTCACATTATTCTTCACATTATTCTTCACATCATTCTTCACATTATTCTTCACATTATTCTTCACATTATTCTTCACATTATTCTTCACATCATTCTTCACATTATTCTTCACATTATTCTTCACATCATTCTTCACATTATTCTTCACATTATTCTTCACATTATTCTTCACATTATTCTTCACATCATTCTTCACATCATTCTTCACATTATTCTTCACATCATTCTTCACATTATTCTTCACATTATTCTTCACATTATTCTTCACATCATTCTTCACATTATTTTTCACATTATTCTTCACATTATTCTTCACATTATTCTTCACATCATTCTTCACATTATTCTTCACATCATTCTTCACATTATTCTTTCACATTATTCTTCACATTATTCTTCACATCATTCTTCACATTATTCTTCACATCATTCTACACATCATTCTTCACATTATTCTTCACATCATTCTTCACATTATTCTTCACATTATTCTTCACATCATTCTTCACATCATTCTTCACATTATTCTTCACATTATTCTTCACATTATTCTTCACATTATTCTTCACATCATTCTTCACATCATTCTTCACATTATTCTTCACATCATTCTTCACATCATTCTTCACATTATTCTTCACATCATTCTTCACATTATTCTTCACATTATTCTTCACATTATTCTTCACATCATTCTTCACATTATTCTTCACATCATTCTTCACATCATTCTTCACATTATTCTTCACATCATTCTTCACATTATTCTTCAAATTATTCTTCACATCATTCTTCACATCATTCTTCACATTATTCTTTCACATTATTCTTCACATTATTCTTCACATTATTCTTCACATCATTCTTCACATCATTCTTCACATTATTCTTCACATCATTCTTCACATCATTCTTCACATTATTCTTCACATCATTCTTCACATTATTCTTCACATCATTCTTCACATTATTCTTCACATCATTCTTCACATTATTCTTCACATCATTCTTCACATTATTCTTCACATCAATCTTCACATAATTCTTCACATTATTTTCACATCATTCTTCACATCATTCTTCACATCATTCTTCACATCATTCTTCACATTATTCTTCACATCATTCTTCACATCATTCTTCACATCATTCTTCACATAATTCTTCACATTATTCTTCACATCATTCTTCACATCATTCTTCACATCATTCTTCACATTATTCTTCACATTATTCTTCACATCATTCTTCACATCATTCTTCACATTATTCTTCACATCATTCTTTACATCATTCTTCACATCATTCTTCACATCATTCTTCACATCATTCTTCACATCATTCTTCACATTATTCTTCACATCATTCTTCACATTATTCTTCACATTATTCTTCACATCATTCTTCACATCATTCTTCACATCATTCTTCCACATATTATTCTTCACATCATTCTTCACATAATTCTTCACATTATTCTTTACATTATTCTTCACATTATTCTTCACATCATTCTTCACATCATTCTTCACATTATTCTTCACATTATTCTTCACATTATTCTTCACATCATTCTTCACATCATTCTTCACATTATTCTTCACATCATTCTTCACATAATTCTTCACATTATTCTTTACATTATTCTTCACATTATTCTTCACATCATTCTTCACATCATTCTTCACATTATTCTTCACATTATTCTTCACATTATTCTTCACATCATTCTTCACATCATTCTTCACATTATTCTTCACATCATTCTTCACATAATTCTTCACATTATTCTTTACATTATTCTTCACATTATTCTTCACATCATTCTTCACATCATTCTTCACATTATTCTTCACATTATTCTTCTATATTCTCTCTCAAGTCTGTCTTCGTCTTTTATGGAGACCAAAACTAAATGTCATATTCAAGATACTCTGGCAACTGCGTACTAGAAAATAAATATGGTTTCTGGCATCTTGCATTCGATATTTACAGATATTAAATCTAGTATTCCGTTAGCTTTACTGTTAACAAACGGGCAATGTTTCGTACTGTTGTGGTTTTTACTTATGATTACTTCGAGCTGCCTTTTTTCTTGTCAAATATTTTGTATTTATGACTGATATTGTTATATTTTCATTTATCAACATTGAAACTCAAAGAAACGACGAGTGGACACCGAACAATGACACAGACAAGAGAAACTAAATAAAGGTAGAAAGAGAAAGAGAGTAGAGACACTTAAGAATGAAACAGAGGAAATGTAAATAATATATACAAAAGACACACATACTTGAGTGTAATGACCAATTTTCTTCTTTTTCAGGAGCTGAAAGGAAGCGACGAAGGAACTGGGCATGTCAGCGACCTCGTCATACCATTCATACACCGCTCGTTTCCAATCCTGAGAGAGATACACTGAGTTAGCTCAGCTTGACACCTTTACTATACACTCAATATACCCATCCTACGAGCGGTAGTCATAACATAGACACGTGTGGTGGATGTGGGAAGAGACTCAACCCTAACATTCTTGTTTAGCTAGAGAAGTTATAATTGTAATTATCTATTGGCAGATTTATTGGCATGGAATGGCTAGTTATCTATCGTGCTCAGGTCCGGATTGAAGGTACTTGTCCTGGGACCCCACAGTACTTGTCCTGGGTCCCCACAGTCCTTGTCCTGGGTCTTCACGGTCCTTGTCCTGGGTCTCCACGGTCCTTGTCCTGGGTCCCCACGGTGCTTGTCCTGGGTCACCACGGTCCTTGTCCTGGGTCACCAGGGTCCTTGTCCTGGGTCACCAAGGTCCTTGTCCTGGGTCACCAGAGCCCTTGTCCTGGGTCACCAGGGTCCTTGTCCTGGGTCACCAGGGTCCTTGTCCTGGGTCACCACGGTCCTTGTCCTGGGTCACAGGGTCCTTGTCCTGGGTCACCAAGGTCCTTGTCCTGGGTCACCAGGGTCCTTGTCCTGGGTCACCAGGGTCCTTGTCCTGGGTCACCAGGTCCTTGTCCTGGGTCACCCGGTCCTTGTCCTGGGTCACCAGGGTCCTTGTCCTGGGTCACCAGGGTCCTTGTCCTGGGTCACCAGGGTCCTTGTCCTGGGTCACCAGGGTCCTTGTCCTGGGTCACCAGGGTCCTTGTCCTGGGTCACCAGGGTCCTTGTCCTGGGTCACCCGGGTCCTTGTCCTGGGTCACCAGGGTCCTTGTCCTGCGTCACCAAAACACTTACTACGACACTTACTGTACGACTGTTACATGAAACAGTCAGTATTTATAAGTACTGGAAGTACACGAAGAGAACAAAATATAATACTGACTTTTATTTACCACAGACAAAATTCTAATTCGCAGGAATAAACTTTATAATGAAAGTTACACAATGAGATAATTTGACCTTAAATTCTGATTAGCAAGACATTCGTAATTTGTTATAATATAAAGTAGTGTAGGAAAGGTGTGGGCAAGTCCAAGAAAGAGAAAGTAAATAATAATTATTATTATTATTATTATTATTATTATTATTAATATTATTATTTATTATTATTATTATTATTATTATTATTATTATTATTATTATTATTATTATTATTATAAGGTTTTAGGACACACAACACTTGAGAAATGGGAGACAATGTGACTTGTTTCCAGAAAGTGAAGGGCAGCTCCGTTTCCTTCAAGAATTCGAAAACACTTTACGAACATCAAGGCGACTCATCTAATTGTGTTCAGGGCCGTGAGTCGGGCGAAAAACAGAGAGGAAAAAGATCACGTTTTGTGTGTCTGAGTTTGCAGTCTGTGTTTAAATGTATGTAGTGGTGTGTGCTCATGTGTGCTGTGTGTGTGTGTGTGTGTGTGATTTGTGAGTCTGTGTAGTCTGTGATGTCGAGTGCTTGTGTGTTGTGTGAATGTGCGTGTCTTGTGGTAATGCTGTGTTGTCAGTGTCGTGTGTGTGGTGTTGTGTGTGTGTGTATGTGTGTGTGTTGTGTGTCAGTGTGTGTCGTGTGTGCTGGTAGTGTGTGTCGTGTAAGTGCGTTGTAGTGTGTGTATGTGTGTTGTGTGTGTGTGTGTGTGTTGTGATGTGTGTGTGTGTGTGTGTGTGTGGTGTGTGTAAGTGCGTGTTGTGTGTATGTGTGTGTGTGTGTGTGTGTGTGTGTGTGATGGAGAAACGGGACAAGGGATGCTCACAGGTCCCTCGTCGAAGCCCCAGTAGTAGTGGATGTTCTGGCCGACGTGGTAGTCCCTGGTGCACATCCTTCTGTCCCTGGCTGAGTCGTGACCCTGGGGGCACTGAGACGCCCACGCCTGCGTAGGGAAAAACACACACACACACTTCACAGTAACATCGCTAACTAGTACATGTAAGGCTGATACGAGAGCGAGATGCCGACAGGATAGAGTAAAAGACACCCTGAGCTAGCTTTAAATCGTGACAACGCTTCGCTCGGTGTAGCTCTTCATCAGATCATTAAGGCTTAGCTTTACACAGAGCGAAATGTTGTCACCTGTGTCTTTTATTCCAAGCGTAAATTTGCAAAACCAAAGTTTTTTTTTTTAGGTATTATACCAATCCTTTTATGTCCAGTGACTGTTTATCTTCCGTATCCAGGTTTGAAACATTAATCACAACTGCTTCAGTCACAGACTGAACATTTCAATGACTAATTTCTCACATCAATGAGACAAGAATGTCTGCCAGTGCGTATGAAAGTTTAAAGGTAGGAAGAGCGAGAAGCCATACACACTTCTGTGAAGAGAAGACACTACACGAGAAGCTTTTGTTGGCACATATTATCGAACAGTTTAGATTTTTTTTTTTTAAGCCATGACTTCGAGTTAAACTGATGTGAATATTGTCGCTATAAAGCCTAGGTCGGCACAGGGTGTTCTTCATTTGTGTCGGCAGAATGTTATTTAAATCCAGAATACACTGCTGCTTATGACACAGAATTTACTTTACTGATAGAATATTTTGAGAAGTGTGGCACAAAAGAAAGCTCCACTTAGCACCAACTACCTGAACTAACTTGTCTTTTCACACCTACCTGGGCCAGCTCATCGTTCCACACCACCTAACACCTACCTGGGCCACCTGAGCCAGCTCATCGTTCCACACTATCTCACGCATGTTAGCAGCAGGAGGCTGAGGTCCTGGGGCTCCCCTCTTCTCCTGGCCCGTCGCCACCTGCCCCGGAGGAAGAGAAAGTGAAAGACGCCTCGTTAGGTGACCTCGAATTCTTCAGCTGTTGAAAATGAATGGGACGTAGGACAGTCAAGAAGAAATACACTGAGGAAACGAGGAGTAAGAACGGGAAGAACAAAACTAGAATAGTCGGTACTGTACAGTTTGTCATGCAGTATAACAAAGACACTGGTGAGTCTTTGTTTTGCTGCAGCTGGAGTTAATCTTTGTAGTTAGATGACTAGACATTTGAGAAATAAATAAGAGACTGCCACTAGAAGCCTGTGAACACATACACTTGTGAAGTTCCGAATGTTGGTAGACATTAGACTTAAGAGTAGGTATAGAGGGGGGAAATGATATACCAGAAAACAGAAGACAAGACTACGAAAAAATAGAAGATTTTCTAAATTTAGTTAAATGGGGAAAAAATTGGATGATCAGACAACTCATATGAAAGGCCAGCTAGAAAGTGCTGTGAGGTCACAGAAAGCTTCGTACAAATTTGTAGCAGCAAAGTCAAAATACAGAAATGCGATGACTAAGACTCGTGTGCAATACTATGGTGCCTTTATTTGAGAGACGTGAAGAACAGGCCACAGGGGGTGGAAATATTTAACTCAAGTTCTTTCGTACTCTCCGTGCGTCGTCAGGAGCTATGCAGTGTTGCAAGGCTAGTAACAGATTGTAGGGGGAAAATTCTTTCTGAGGCAAGGAAGAAGCGTAAAGCGTCAGGCCATGTCACAGCGGAATGTGTGAGACACTACTGTGACATGGCCTGACGCTTTATGTTTCTGACTTACCTCAGAAATAATTTTCCCCCAATATTCTGTTTCTAGCCTTGCAACATTGCATAGCTCCTGACGACGCACATAGAGTGCGAAAGATCTTGAGTTAAAGATTTCCGCCCCATGTGGCTTGCTCTGGATTGTTAAGATCACCTGTTTGCGATTGTTTTGCACTGATAGACGTGTGTTACTTAACAGTGAACCTGTGCAGCATTAGACTAAGGTTACTTGTGTGTGTGATGTTCACACTGGCTGTCAGGAGGAAAAAAAAGAGACATAATAATCACGTATAAAGTCATAAAAGGATATAAATAAATAGATACTGAAGATTTATTAATGTATATAACAGGAATAACAAGACAACATATTTGTAAACTGTGAAAAAGTAGACCCGAATGTAAAATTAAAAATATTCTTATTTTTAGGAAACATTAATTGAACAATGGAATAATTTAACATAAGAAGAGGTGCTATATTTGGAAATAAAAAAAATATAATAATGAATATGGGACACCCTGACTATCTGTGCTTCTGTAGCTACAAACAGATGTTTAAAATGGAAGGAAAACAGTGTTAAGAGAAGTCATATTCGTGGAGCGTCGCTGACCTGAGCTCTGAGTGTGTTGTGAAGATTGAGGATCTGCTCTTTCTCCTTCTCCGTCACCTCTGAGTTGTAAATCTCACAGGTGGGCTCCTGAGGCTTGAGCATGGTGTGGGTGAGGCTCAGCTGAGAGTAGTCACATTCAGAAGAGGGCTCCGTGGGTTTCACACCTTCTACGAGACCAAACAAAACAAGATGACTGGTTCATAGAGCCTTCATGTTCATGAATTAGACACTTGAGTATCATTATTGTGGAAACGTTTCGCCAAACAATGGCTTCCTCAGTCCAATAAAGAAAAGAATGATTATTGTATATATACATATTGTGAAAAGCATAGTGAACTTACAAGCTCTTTCGTGATTTCTCATATTATCAAGGAACTATAAAAGTAAAAAATTGGCAGAAGGCATATAAGGGCAAAATTACACCTCACAGTCAACATACAACACCCAAACCTTTTATGATGATGTGGGTGAGATGGTCAAGGACTTATCAGACACAGCTTATATTCTACCCAAGCTTTAATATATCAATACTTTTCCCAGTCTGAACTAAGATTACAACAACATAAATATAGCATTAGAATTGGACAAGAGTTTAATGCTTTGTTTATTCATGTGAAAAATTTTAACCATCCAATTGATTTTCAAAAGGCCGAAGAAATTGTATCAAACAGGTCGATGGTTGAGAGAAATATAACAGAATTACTTTCATATAAAAAAGAAGAATTAAATTAATATGAATAATGGTTTAGGATTATACATGAGTTGATTATACAAATTAGACTCATTTATAATTAATAAAATTTGTAAAGAATTTAAGATATATTCAACAAGTTATAATCATAAAGCTTTGGAAGAATAGAAGCTGTGTCTGTAACGTCCTTGACCATCTCACCCACATCATCATAAAAGGTTTGGGTGTTGTATGTTGACCGTGAAGTGTAGTCTCGTCCTGATATGCCTTCTGTTAATCTTTTATTTGTATAGTTCCTTGATAATGTGAGAAATCACGATAGCCCCTGGAAGTTCACTATTATTTTCACAGCTTCACAGCGGCTGTTCTCTGTATATTATGATGTCACCTGTTTGCTGTGATCTTATTCCATATATATATATGTCGTGCCGAATAGGCAGAACTTGCCATCTTGGCTTAATAGCAATGCTCATCTTGCCATATAGGACAAGTGAAAATTTGTGTATGCAATAATTTCGCCAAAATCATTCTTAACCTAACGAAAAAAATATATTTCACTGCGTTTGTTTAGTATTAAATTATTGTAAACAAATCTAAAATATATTTAGTTGGGTTAGGCTAAAATAAATTAATTTTGTTATAATAAGGTTAGGTAAGTTTTCTAAGATTCTTTTAGTGCAAAATTATAAATTTTTACATTAACATTAATGAAAAAAATATATCTTTAAACGTATAAGAGAAAATTTTAGAAAGGACTTAATTTTAAATGAGTTCTTGCTAATTGACCAGTTTTACATATTCGGCAAGACATATATATATATAGGGGATTACCAACAGACCCCTGGCAGTCTTCAAGCTGGCACTGGACAAGCACCTAAAGTCAGTTCCGGATCAGCCGGGCTGTGGCTCGTATGTTGGTTTGCGTGCAGCCAGCAGCAACAGCCTGGTTGATCAGGCTCTGATCCACCAGGAGGCCTGGTCTCAGACCGGGCCGCGGGGGCGTTGACCCCCGGAACTCTCTCCAGATAAACTCCAGATATGTATATATATATATATATATATATATATATATATATATATATATATATATATATATATAATATATATACATATATATATATGTATATATATATATTATATATATATACATTATATATATATATATATATATATATAATATATATATATATATATATATATATATGTATATATATATATATATATATATATATATATATATATATATATATATATATATATATATATATATATATATATATATATATATTATATATATATATATATATATATATATATATATATATATATATATATATATATATATATAATATATATATATATATATATATATATATATATATATATATATATATATATATCGTGCCGAATAGGTAAAACTTGTCATTTAGCAAGAACTCATTTTAAATTAAGTCCTTTCTAAAATTTTCTCTAATACGTCTAAAGATATATTTTTTCATTTCTGTTAGTGTAAAAATTAATAATTTTGTACCAAAAGGACCTTAGAAAACTTACCTAACCTTATTATGACAAGCGCAATTTAATTTAGGCTAATCCAACTAAATATATTTTAGATAAGTTTACAATAATTTAATAATAATAAACAAACACAATGAAATATATTTTTTTCGTTAGGTTCAGAATGATTTTTGCGAAATTACTGCATGCACAAATTTTTGTTTGCCTTATTCAGCAACAAGAATATTGCTATTTAAGCCAAAATCGTAAGTTTTACCTATTCGGCAAAACTGCACTGGCCGAGCCTCGAACCCTCGAGCATTAACACGCCACCTGGGTAGCCTGTTAAAACTCGAGACGCCCTAATCCACTTGACCACCAATCTCACAAACAACAGGCGTGGTAGCACTAGACGCCGTCACTCCTGTTGCGAAGACATACGTGGTTGTGGCAATCTAGGGACTAATTTCATTCTCCTCTCGTTTGGAATACCAGTTACACAAGCATTTTACATATTGATAAATGTATATATTCTCACCTTTGGGTTTATGTTTCTTCTTCTCGTGTATGGGTTTCTTTGCCCCAGCACAGCCAGTAACATTGAGCATGACGTCAACCAGCCTATCAAGGAGAGAGATCTGCTGGATGATCTCTTTCTCCTTCAGCAGCTGTGTGGTGCGTCCGTCACTGTCACACACTACCACCATCAACACCATAACCACCGCACTCCACCACCACACTGTCCCCATCATCTCGCTACGCTCCAGTGATAATCTGGGGAAACGTAATGTTCGTATTCCACTAATAATCCAAAGAAAAGGGTACCTGGAGTCTACCTGGAGGTTATTCCGTGGATCAACGCCCCCGCGGCCCGGTCCACGACCAGGCCTCCCGGCGGATCATGGCCTGATCAACCAGGCTGTTATTGCTGGCTGCAGACCGACTGATCCGGCACTGACTTTAGGTATCTGTCCAGCTCTCTCTTGAAGGCAGCCAGGGATTTATTGGTAATTCCCCTTATGCTTGATGGGAGGCTGTTGAACAGTCTTGGGCCCCGGACACTTATGCTGTTTTCTCTTAGTGTACCAATGGCTCCCCTACTTTTAATTGGGGGTATTTTGCATCGCCTGCCCAGTCTTTTACTTCCGTAGGGAGTGATTTCTGTGTGCAGATTCGGGACCATTCCTTCCAGGATTTTCCAAGTGTAAATTATGATATATATCTCTCCTGCGTTCCAACGAGTACAAGTCAAGTGCTTCCAAGCATTCCCAGAAATTAAGGTGCTTGAAAGAACTTATACGTGCAGTAAAGGTTTTCTGTACACTCTCTAGATCTGCAATTTCACCTGCTTTGAACGGAGATGTTAATGTACAGCAGTATTCCAGCCTAGAGAGAACAAGTGATTTGTAAATGATCATCACTGGCTTGGCATCTCTCGTTCTGAACGTTCTCATTATCCATCCTATCATTTTCTTTGCACTTGTGATCGTGGCACTGTTGTGGTCCTTGAAAGTGAGATCCTCAGACATTACTACTCTCAGGTCTCTTACATTATTTTTCCGCTCTATTGTATAGCCAGAGTTTGTAGTATACTCCGTTCTAGTTATCCCCTCCAGTTTTGAATAACGGAGTTGTTGGAATTTGTCCTCATGGAACATCATATTGTTTTCCGTTGCCCACTGGAAAACTTTGTTTATATCTTCTTGGAGGTTAACCGTGTCCTCAATAGATGACAGCCTCATGTAAATCCTAGTATCGTCTGCAAAGGATGATACGGTGCTGTGGGTTACATCTCTGTCTATGTCTGATATGTGGATGAAGAACAGGATGGGGGCAAGTACTGTACCTTGTGGAACAGAGCTCTTCACTACAGCAGCCTCCGATTTAACTCTGTTGACCACTACTCTTTGTGTTCGATTGGTTAGAAAATTGAAGATCCATCTCCCCACTTTGCCAGTTATTCCATTAGCACATATTTTGTGCGCTATTACGCCATGATTGCACTTGTCAAACGCTTTTGCGAAGTCTGTGTATATTACATCTGCATTCTGATTTTCTTCCAGTGCATCCAACTCCATATCATAGTGATCCAGTAGTTGTGAGAGGCAGGAGTGACCTGCCCTGAACCCATGTTGCCCTGGATTGTGCAGTTTTTGGGAATCCAGGCGGTTTGCAATCCTGCTTCTTAGCACTCTTTCAAAGATTTTTATGATATGGGACGTTAGAGCTATTGGTCTATAGTTCTTAGCTAATGCTTTGCTTCCACCTTTATGGAGTGGGGCTATATCCGTTGTTTTAAGTGACTGTGGAATTTCACCTATGTCCAAGCTCCTTCTCCATAGTATACTTAGGGCACGTGAGAGGGGTTTCTTGCAGTTCTTAATGAACACAGAGTTCCACGAGTTTGGGCCCGGGGCTGAGTGCATGGGCATGTTGTCAATGGCTTTTTCAAAGTCTATCGGAGTTAGGGTAATGTCGGAAATCTGGCATACATTTATGGAGTTTTGAGGCTCATTCATGAAGAAATCGTTTGGGTCGTCGATCCTCAGACTGATTAGCGGCTCACTAAACACAGTCGTACTGGGATTTCAGTATTTCACTCATTTCCTTGTTGTCATCTGTGTAAGTCCCATCCTGTGTGAGTAAGGGCCCGATACTAGACTAGATGTGGTATTTGCCTTGTTTTTGGCACATGAAAAGAAATATTTCGAATTTCTTTCAATTTCAAAAATAGTTTTAAGCTCCTCCTGTCTCTCCTGGTTTCTGTAAGAGTCCTTTAACTTAAATTCGATAGCTTCCACTTTCCCCCGTCAGCGCCTCCTTCCGTGTGTCAGATATTCTAGTGTTCCTGAGGAGCTCAGTGATTCTACTGGGAACGCCTTGAAGCACTTGACTAGTACTCGCTGGAACGCAGGCGAGAGAGATATATCATAATCTACACTAGGAAAATCCTAGAAGGAATGGTCCCGAATCTGCACACAGAAATCACTCCCTACGAAAGTAAAAGACTGGGCAGGCGGTGCAAAATACCCCCAATGAAAGGAAGCGGCGCCATTGGTATACTAAGAGAAAACACATTAAGTGTCCGGAACTCAAGTCTGTTCAACATCCTTCCATGCATAAGCGAAATTACCAATAGGCCCCTGGCTGTCTTCAAGTGGGAGCTGGACAGATACCTAAAGTCGGTGACGGTACGTTGGACTACGTGCGGCCAACAGTAACAGCCTGATTGGTCGGCCCTGATCCACCGGGAGGCCTGGTCGTGCGTAGATCTCCGGAATACCCTCCAGGTAGACTCCAGGTAGGACAAACAGAGTTGTCCTCACTGTGTAACCGTCATATAGAATAAGGTAGCCGCTTACTGCTCGTATATCCAATTTTACTAAAAAAATAATAAATAACTTCATATTCGTTGTACATGCTTACTTGTCTCCTTTCACAGTAAAAATCTGTTCTAGTTTGTTTATGTTATATATTAACACAATATTTAGGTTATATATTAACAGAATTCTCGAAGCTCTAATGATACATATACATTGTTGCTGTTCATCTTTGGACACTTGGGCAGATTTGTCAGGGCAAACAGGTCGCTCTGTGTAGGTTTACAGAGCGAAATATCGTCTGTAAATGAAGTTTTCCTCTGCATATAGCGTTGTCGTTATACTTGTCGGCAAGTGTTGCCCTCCAACAAAACAAAGAAACTTACTAGTTGAGCGATGATGAGCCCGTGTGGTACCCGGAGCTCGAGTCCGACTAGTGAAGTGTCATGCAACAGCAAGACTGTCAGGGAACAGCAAGACTGTCAGGCAAGAGAAAGACTGTCAGGGAACAGAGCCTCAACCACCCGACACCACTTGACACAGACGAGGCTGTTGTTGACCCTACGTGCCACTCCCTCACAACTCATCACTTGAAACCGACAAACACCCACAACAACACAGCTCCCATTTATTGGGGGTCGGGGAGGCCCCTTTAGTGAAGGGCTCTTGATCCGAGATACCGGAGCCCATTTAGCTCTCTTTCTGGGATAAAATCTGAACATCCTTCCTCTCACCTTTCCTGCAGATTTTTACTACTCTGCGATGCCTTCGGAAATATATATAATATAATTTGCACCGAATTATGAACATAATTTGTGGAACACAAATAATTTTTTGAAGAGTTTGGATTGCGTTGTGATGAGCTCTATAATAAAACAGGAAATTAAGAACGATGGCAGAAAAAAAGTGCAAGGGGGGGGGGTGTCTACCTGGAAGGTGTTCCGGGGGTCAACGCCCCCGCAGCCCAGTCCTTGACCAGGCCTGCCGGTGGATCACTGCCTGATCAACCAGGCTGTTACTGCTGGCCTCATGTAACCCAACGTACGAATCACAGCCCGGCTGATCGGGTATTGACTTTAAGTATCTGTCCAGCTCACTCTTGAAGGCAGCCAGAGGTCTACTGATAATTCCCCTTATGCATGGTGGGAGGCTGTTGAACAGTCTTGGGTCCCGGACACTTGTATTTTGTTAGTAGAAAAATAAAAATGAGGTCATAATGTGGGTGGTAATCATGTAATGACTCAAAGCTAAGTGGTAAGTGGATCCAGCTTCTGGCCACTTGACTCCTGCTGCATTTCGTCCTCCAGGACATTATACTTATAACGTTAAATAAAATTTGCAACTGAAATGCGGTTAAACATGTCATAAAACTTACACCTGACAAAACTGTTCACTACACATCACTGCAAAATTAACGGGATGAAGTTTTTCAAAATCACAGAAAAATGATCGATATCAAACCATGGCAGCTGGGTGTAGGTGAGGTGGCTGGCAGGGCTGCCCAGGTGGCTGGCAGGGCTGCCCAGGTGGCTGGCAGGGCTGCCCAGGTGGCTGGCAGGGCTGCCCAGGTGGCTGGCAGGGCTGCCCAGGTGGCTGGCAGGGCTGCCCACACAAAAACTTCATGCACAAACACTATATAAAGTTTCAAAAATAATGTCGTATGTATCGTGTACTAAGGTCGGAAATGTTGAGAAAAAGGACTGCGATGATGAGGAGACTGCTGTGTGGCCCATACGGGTTTATGGTTTGGAAGGAATTATGGATATGTTTATGGATATCTTTTTAGACAATAATAATGGCAAGAGAGAGTGAGAGAGAGAGAGAGAGAGAGAGAGAGAGAGAGAGAGAGAGAGAGAGAGAGAGAGAGAGAGAGGAGAGAGAGAGAGAGAGAGAGAGAGAGAGAGAGAGAGAGAGAGAGAGAGAGAGAGAGAGAAGGGGAGAATGAGTATTACCAGAGTGACTGCATCATATTTTCAAGCAGGAAGGCACTTGTTCAAACGCAAGCACTACTGAATAGAGGAAGACGTCTAAGCGTGTATTAGGAAGAAAGCACAACCTTGTGGGTTAGTGAGTGTGTATATCTGTGGCTTGTTGCAGCTATTCAGTTGAAGGTTGCATTGAGTGTCCCCCAGCTGTCTCTCACCTCCCCACGCAACATGACCCTCGCAGTGGCTCCCATACGTGCCACAACCTCACAACTGAACAAATTAAATTGATAAATAGTCGCCGCTGAGGTAACTCGAGACGGAGGCCTTAAATATAAAGACTAGGACTAGTAGTAGAGAGATAAAAACATTAAAATTCATTAATCCCATTAGAAAGCTTGATATAACTTAGAAAAAAAGGCATCAAAAGCCCTATTTTCCTACTGAAGCTTAGTCTAGCTGAGAGACCAAACACTCAATGAAATTCCTGAATTTCCACTAAGATAAGATTTCGTTCGGATTTTTAACCCCGGAGGGTGAGCCACCCAGGATAACCCAAGAAAGTCAGTGCGTCATCGAGGACTGTCTAACTTATTTCCATTGGGGTCCTTAATCTTGTCCCCAAGGAGGCGACCCACACCAGTCGACTAACACCCAGGTACCTATTTGCTGCTAGGTGAACAGGACAACAGGTGTAAGGAAACGTGCCGTAATGTTTCCACCCGCCGGGAATCGAACCCGGGACCTCCGTGTGTGAAGCGGGAGCTTTAGCCACCAGGCCACCGAGTGCATATTTGTGGAAGACTCCAGATGTTGCCTCGCCTAATGATTGTATTTCTCCTTTGATGAAAGGAAGGGGCGCTGAGACTGTCGAAAGGGTCTAGATCCGAGGAATTGAAGTTACATTTCCCTTCCTCGGATAAAACTTAATTATCGCCCAGTTAATACTATTATCATTACAGATTTACCGCTTCCACTTCCCGAGTGGAAATAGAAATAAGTCACAAAGTTTGACTTTAATTAGTTACCCTAGATTATCATATGTCGAACTAGGTTGAGTCAACACAATGTGACGTATTTGTGTGTACTCACAGCACTTATATACTCTGAAGACAGCATAAGCTAACTAAGCTACAGTTTGGG